AACGCACCAGGGCGTTACCGGGGCATACAAACCCTAAACTGCGCCACCACCACCAAGAGATTTAAAATCCTAAATCACGCATGCCACGGCGAAGACCCAGGCTAAAAACCCTCATCTGCATCGGGGTAATACAGGGGTCTAGAGATCCTTGCTCACACGGGGGTAAGGCTGTGGTCTAAAATTCCCAAATCTCACAGGCGGCGGGACCCAGGGTTTAAAAGAAAAGCCTCCGAGGGTGACCCAGAGTCCGGACCAGTCTAAGGCGGGCAGGAGTGACACCTTGCCGAGGTGGCGGCACGGCGGGCCGGGAGAGGGTTTTGCTACAAGGCAGCTCTGGCCTCTGACCACCACAGTGGCGACCCAGGCTCGGAGCTGAGCTGGCCGGCCACACCCCCTCACAGCACCCGGCTGCACCCACCTGCGGAGGCGATCTCGGCGCACCATGGCCGCGTTATCCCATGCCGCTCGCCGCAGGGTTGCAGAGCACTGGGCGCGCCGCAGCGCCCGCAGCCGTACAGGGTCGGTGGTGGCAGCGGCACAGCCCACGGCCTGCACCCAGCGGTCCGCGGTGATAGAGGCGGCGGCAAGCGGCCACTTGGGCGTGCGCTGCGGCACTGCCGGTTCGGCAGGCGAGGCGCGGCTGCCGCAGAGGAGGCGCCTGAGCCGTGCCGCCTGCGGGGATGCCGAGAGGTGCTGGTGGCCGCGGCAGAGCAGAGCGAGTGGGTCCCGGCTTTTAGAGCCCATTGGCCCCGCCCCTGACCCGCCCACCGTGCCGCAGAGCCCCTCCTGTCCGCTCCCGCCGCAGAGCCCTCCCCACCGCCTGCCGCAGAGAAGGGGGGCTGCTCCTTTGGGCATCTTCAGGGTATCGGCCCCCAACACCCACCCTTTCCTGGCAGAACCCCAACCCTGAGCCCCAGATTCTGCTGCGGAAGCCTTCCCTAGACAGTTAAAGGCCTCAGGCAAAGACTGCACACCTCCAAGACTCCAACCCTCCTCTTGGACCTCGCTCAGGTCCCCAGGCCCAGGAGTGACCGCAGGGCTGGGGTGCTTACCATCCTCTTCTTCTCTATATCCCCAGTGTGTGTGTGTGTGTGTGTGTGTGTGTGTGTGTGTGTGTGTGTGTGTATGTGTGTGTGTGTGTGTACTGGGCCCTGTGAGTAACCGCAACCCCCCAAGCCCCTAAGCATGGCAACAATGAAGGGCACATCGAACGGCTAGGGAATGGACGAGTTCTGTGGGCCCTGCCCTGAGCTACCTGGGCATACTCATGGAAGGATTGCGACCACGCAAAGCAAAGTTACAGAAAGTCTGGGTTTGCTCACTCAGGCCACCGTGGTGCAACCTGGCACGTTTGCTCTGCAGCAGCGCGACGTGGTCGGCATGCCAGCAGTTAGCTGCAGCGTCCATCCTGCAAGGCACTGGTGCAGCCGTTCATCAGGGGCACAAGCCCCATTTGGGTTGTATATGCAACACAACCGCAAAGCAAGCACCCGAGGTGCAGGAAGCAAGCTAAGGATTTTTTTAATCCATAATCCTTTAAAAAGCACCCATCACACCTTTGAAATGCACAGCACATTGCGCGACTGCGTGTGTGTGTGTGTGTGTGTGTGTGTGTGTGTGTGTGTGTGTTGTTCGGGGCTGTAAATTAAAATTCTACTAACGGTGCACAGGCTACGAGCTAGCCAGGGACACTGCCAGTGCAGGCCAGTCCGGCGGGGGCGCTGCAGGCCTCTCTTGGAGCGCCTGGTTCTCCTCACTTCTGCGGCTCCAGCAGTACAGGCAAGCGTGAGTCTGCCAAAGGCCAGCAGCCGGTCAGCTGAACCTGTGGCCATCAGCCCTGCAGGCACCAAACCATGCTCCAGGAGCTCAGGGCCACCCAGCAGAGACTGGAGGTGCCATCACCTAAGAACGGGTCACCGGAACGGAACGAGTGTCCACACTCCAGGGTACACATCTACCGGGGGCGCATAAAAGGGGCATGAAACAAATGCTTGTGTAGAGTCTACGGTATGCAATGTCGGGGGCACGAGATTAAAGAGGGATGGCCCCTGCCCTGGAGAAAGACACTAGCCATCCCAAGAGAGAGAAGGGCGTTTAATAAATTTTCTTTGTGAGTTCGGATTTATTAACAGGTTGGCCCCTTTTTTTCCCAACTTTGTAAGGCCCTCAAAGTCCGAGCCCGCCACAGTGGGCCACAAAGCAGACCCCTAATAAATACCGCATGAATAAGTTCAAGAATTTGAGGGCGCACAGGGGAGGAAGTAATTAAGGGGAGGGAGGAACCGGTTGAACGGACCTTTACCAGAGACAAAGAACATTCCTGCCAGAGGGGACGGCTTTCCCAAAGCATCGGGGCTCCGGACCACCAAACCTTTGGTGAAAACGGTGTTTCCTTTGGGTACCAGCACCAACAGGAGAGAAAGACCCTGATGCTAGAAAGAGTTTATTTGGAATGTGTAATTTGTCCTAAAGATGAGAAGCTGCAGATGTGTTTAAAGCCTGTAGGACCTTAGGTGGGTACTTAACAAAATTTAAATCAGTCCCTTTCACAAGCAGAGGATTACCTATCCTAACTAGCCACCAAACCTCTTAAAGACTAAAGTACTTAGCAAAATTTGAAGCGGTGCTTTCTCTAGAGTAGAGGCATATTGAATTTAACAAGTGACGATGACAAAGCCTCCACATTTTATCTTTTCCCATATTCACTGCCAGCCCAATACACTTTGAGCCCAATACACAATTCTACACTTTGATTCTCCACCAGGCCAGAAGTACAAGCATCCAAGACGAAGGCAATTTTCTAATTCATGGACTGAATGACCCACAAAGGATCTCATTCGGAAGGCCACTGAACAGTCTACCCACGTGGAACAAGAGGGTAGCCTGTAGGGGTGGTGGGGGGAGAAATGGTTAAGCCTGGAGGGGGAGGGGAGGGTCAGGAAACGCTCTGAAACACAAAAGAAATTCCAAGTCCAAGCTGCTTGCCAGGAAGAAATTCTACTCTGGGTGGCTACAGAAGAAATTCTGCTCTGGGTGGCTAAGGATGACTTCGGTGGAAAAGGGTGCAACTTCGGTGGAAAGGGGTGCGATGAGAGTTGAAATGGCATGGAACTCAGAACTCGGTTAGGTAGAAAAAACATTTCCATTTGGAAAAACCTCTCACACAAAGGCAAGGATTCGGACAAACATGGAGCTCGCTTCCAAATCAGCTCAGCTAAAGCTCCGGGGAAATGCTTCTCAAAGTCCAAGGGAAAACGCTGGCCATAATGTCCCAGGAGCCAAAGACAGGGGATCTGCTAACAACAACGACTTGCTTATTTCCAGAGGGGAGCTTCTTCCACTCAAGAGGGAATCTGACCCAAGGTCCACAACCCTTGGTGCAGCTGAGAAAGCTGAAATTCTATAAATGCAAGTTGGCCTCCAGCTTGCTGCCAGCACCCCTCCAACTTCTTCCAAACAGGTACTGTCCTTTGCCTACACGGCATGTAGTCTAGCTCCCTTAGCCAGCAGCTTAGCACACACTCCATTTCAATTCTAACACGGGTTCATATCATACCAACACTTCAGATGCGTGCAAAACTTTGCGTTGAAACCTCTGAATTTAGCATCTCACATCAGCAGCGAGTGCTGGGAGGCCAGCGCACCGCTATCATGGCTTCAACCATAGTATTTTTCTAATCCCATTTTGAACACCAGGATATGACAAAATGCAGTTTATAAAGAGAACAGGATAGACCACCACTTTGAAAAGCTGTAATTACAGATTTGAAAAAAAACTAAAAAAGTACAGAATGGGACAAAGCCAATTGAACAATGGCACTTTGTTAAAGAGACTTAGGGCTTTATTTGATAAAAGGCTTTCAACAAGTCAGTGTGATATGACTAAAAAATAAGCTGTGTCTGACTTACGGAGATGCACCCAGAATAACCTAGTCCTGTGCCATTTCACTAGCCAGATCTCACCAATAGTATCTTATTCTGTTCTACAGAATAGATATTAAGAGCCATTTAGACAAATAGCAATGTGTTTGGAGACCAACTAAAATGTATGGTGAATCATGTTATTCAAGATAAAGCAGCCACCATAGTTGATGCTCCAACTATGAGTGTACATTTTCACCTAATGTGTCCCTGACATGGACTAGATGAGCGTGTCCTTTCATGAGGGGTGGGGGGGTTTGAAGCTAAAGCAGCTCAGAGAGCCATGTTCCCACATGAAGGGACTGGGGGGTTGAACACGGATGTCTGGCTCCAGAGCTGTCGTTCTTTCCACTGCCCCACACTGCCTCCCTGTTTGAAATAACTGGGCATGTTTAGTCAAAAGAAAAGGAGCCTTGTGGAGTAGTGGAAGAAACTTGTTAGCAGTCCTCAAATATTTGTGGAAGCGTGTTAGACATTTTATTCTGTGTGTCTCCAACCAGTGCAAACTGCACAGAAACAAATGGCGATTCAACATAAAGAATTTTCCAACAGTTCAAGCCATCTAGTGGGGTTGAGTGACTCATGACAAGCTCCCTGTCACTGGGGACTTGTCAACCCTGTGGCAGGTATGCAAACTTCTGGTATTTAACTCAATGAATGACCTTTAAAAATTTTTAACATCCAAGAGAAAGTAAGGTACAGGGAGGTACTGGCTTAGCCAAGGTGATCCCTCTGCCCAGGGGACAAATCTCAGTCTTCCCGTTAAGTGTGGTCCTCAGCCCTGGGCTGCTTTCTACTGAAGGCAGAACAAATTGAAGGAATAAAGCCATTCATTCATTCATTCATTCATTTTTGCTCTCTCTCAACCAAATTTATCCAATATAGTCCTAAATGATGTCCTCCTCTTCGGGCTCATTTTGGGATAAAAATCTCTGCAGCAAAGAGCTCTGAAAAAGTAGTAGAGGAGGGGAGCTACGAGGCTGCATAATCTTAACCAAGGAAGATGACCCAAAAGGACAGGCACCGTAGCTGTTTCTACACATTGCAGAATTACAGGGCACCCCTAAATGCTCCTTCCAGATCCTCCACATGACCCAACACCTACCATAATCCCGCACCCAGTATAACAGAACCCTGGTACCCCTGCCTCGCTAGGTTGAAGGATTCTAATTAACTAATAGCATCATGTCTTTCCACAGCTCTTTACCCTTTCACACACATTATTTCATTTGTTGCTTCCCCGCAGTCCTCTAAGGAACTTTCTGGCAAGCTGTGGCAGTCTCTTCCAGCTGCCTGAGAAAGACAGGATAGGACATGCAGCACTTCCTCTGTCGGTTTTTCCCCTTTCTTCTGTCTCCTACCGGAGGCTTTTCCTTCAGCCAGGATGAGGAAACCCAGAGCAGGTGTTTCAGGTTGCCCCCTTGCTCTAATCAGCTCACACCTTCCCAGCTGTCCTC